AAAAAAATTTCTTCACAATTTGTCATTGTCACCGTACTATTGGATTTTTTTAAAATAAAACCATATTTAAAAAAAATTACATGTTTAGTTTATTTTTAATTTTAGATTATATAATAAAAATATTTTATTTTTAATTTATTTTATTTATATATTATACAATTTAAATTTACAATTTTTATTTTTATTAAAAAATTATTACTAAATTATTTGATTAAGTCATTTGGCACATGTTTAGTTTATTTATTTTAACTACAAAACAAATAAACTAAACTCAAGTTCTAAAAATATCTAGCTTGGGATTAATTGATAGTAGATAAAAAATAAAAAAAAAACCCTCACCCTAAATATAAAATTTAAGAAAAAAAACTTAATTTACCACACACCCCTAGTTTGATGTGGGATAAATTATTTCAAACTGGCTAATTTATTGAGAGCCTGTCTCATGTCGTTCGTTGCTTCTATTTTATTTTTTTATATTTGATAACAAATATTATATAAAGTAAACTGTTATGAATTGCTACACATATAATATTAATTGTCAAAAAAAAAACGAAAACTAAAGACAAAGTCACGAGTAAACGGGCTTAAGTAACTATGCATCTTTTGACTTGAACTAAAAGAGAAAATGATCATGAAAGATTGTTCACAAAAATAGGTAGCAAAAACAATAGTAAGGAAAAATCTATCTTTTGCTGATCCAATGGTGAACAAACATGATTTCTTTTGATTTAATGAGTAATGATGGATGAGGGGTCGGTTGCAAGTTCAATTATTTATGTTCTATGGGAAAAAGATAAAGTTTCACTGGACAAATGAGATATACGAACTTTTAAAAGTAAGTTTTCATTATTTATTTAGATATAATTGGTAAATATTTTTTATTTAATTAAGTGCCTATTTTTTTTTTTTTACATATTAGTTACATAACGGGAGGTAATTTTTTCTTATTCTTTATCTCATTTTATCCATATATCATGCCACTTAAATTCAAAACCTCTTATTTTCAGTAAAATGAAATTATCACTGAATTATTTAGTTCATTGATAAACGCTT